GCGGGGTTTCCTTCTGCATTTCCACATTGGCTTGCATTGCATTGAATATCCAAACACATATTCTCCCGAGGAATGGGATGCCGTGCACAATGCTTATGAGGTGTCTTCCGGTATACAATGGCATGCCCAAGAGCTCTGGCTGCCCTATAATATGACCTTGCAGGTTCTTCTTATTTGATGGAGGTTATAGGGTAACATGAGATTATCCCGATTCATGACTATAACTATCAGATGGTAAATTCATTTAGAGGAATCGAAGCTAGGTGGGGCACCGTCCTCCCACCCACGCTCTATGAGTCCACCTCCATCGTCTCGGCCTCTTTCGTCTCCTCGCCGGCTTCCGACCGCTCCAAAGCGTCCAGCAGAGGTACGAGCAGCTGACCCTCGTATAGCTTGAAGCTCTCGATCCTACCCCTGGCACCCTCGGGAGCCAGACCCACCACGCCGACGGAGGTGTTATCCACCGTCAACTCCTTATCCTGGGAAAGGGTCTCCTTGAGGGCTTGCAGGCCGTGGGTGATGAGCTCGTCGCGTGTGGAGCCGGCGATCTTCTCCAAGTTGCGCTCGAGATAGGTCCGGGCCATCTGGGAGCGGGCGCCAATGGCACAGGCCACCATCTCCTGGGTCATGCCCGAGGGCTGGAACTCGAACAGGTGGGGACCGGCGTCGTCGACGCCGGCCACGAGTAGGCCGACACCGTAGGGCCGCTTGCCGTAATGTTGGGTGTTCGTTTGAGCGCGGTCGCCGATCTGGCTGACGATGCGGTCGACGGGCAAGGGGCGGCCGTAGGTCATCCGGGAACCCAGTGACTGCTGCTTCATGAAATTGGAGAGCACCCGAGCGTCCGAGGCGAGACCGGCGATGGCAATGCCCATGTGGGAGTCGATTTCGATGATCTTCTTCTGGTATGACGAGAGCTCTTCGGCATTACGCTGGGAGGGGAGGGCAAGGAGGTGGGGCAAGATGTCAGCTTTGTGAGGTCTTCTGTTTGCAAAGGGGGAAAAGAGAATGAAGAACACTTCATGGGGCTGGGAAAAGTAGCCAAAGTAGTCATACCTTCAAGCCGACGAGCACGGCATGTGTCTTGTTGACCAGTCCCACCACCACGGATCCTTGCTTCACGGCTTCCTGTGCGTATTCAACCTGGAATATCCGACCTTGCGGGGAGCTGTGCGCATAGTCCTTGATTAGCACAGGACTTAAGGTGTCTTTGCGTTGAGTCTTGAAGGACGAGAGAAGCTGGCGATAATACATACAAGGTGACGGCATCGTTGTCGTAGTTGTTTCTGAACATGGCGGGAGGATGTGATGAGGGTCGGGTTTCAAAGGAGGAGCCAAGGGATTGAAGAGTAGTCCGATCAGGGAAAAGATGTAGGAGATGAGTGGTAGTGAGGGGGGGGGGGGGGAGAACAGGAAAGAATGAAGCGAGATAGAGTGATAGTAGCAGTGGAGGAGGTTCGGACAGGCAGAGAGCAACTGACGCGGTGACGGCCAGCGAGAGCAAGAGAGAGCAAGAACGAGAGCTTCCCGCCGCTAGTTAATTAGCAGCAGCAGTAAGAGTAAGCAGTAACCTGAAGCTGACCTCCGCCGCTCCGCAGTTGATGATTGTTGCCTGAGGCTGTCAGCACCAGTCCAGCGCCCGGACGTCACTGACTACTCGTACTCCGTAGTCCATCCAGCTAAGCCTGTATCACCCATACCTACCCTGCCTGCCTATCCCCAACTCCCTCCCCATTCTTCTTACCCACTTTCCCTTCTACTCTTGGGTTTCCCAGGCAGTCGATCCACAACCCTTATTCTCTTTTACTGCATCTTGCTTGATACCACTTGCTCAGCGTCTTCTGAGCTTCCTCACCTCTCCACCACCCTCCCCCTCAACAAAGCTATTATTCCCTATCGACCCCTCCTCCTCACACCGACTGGGGCTTCTCCGCAACCATGACCGCCGGACTCAAAACAATCATCGCACTCTCCTTTGTATGCGCGCTTCTAATTCTTTGGTCTTTTCTTAAATCACCTGCTTGCACCTACTAATTCATTTCATCCAATAGGTCCTTGCCATTGGTTTTCTTCTTGTAATCCTGTCTTCGGCTCTCTGGCACAACTTCCTACCGTTGCTTGTTGTTGCGACTTATGTTGTTGCGCCCCTGCCCAACTGGATCTGCTCACGATGCGCCAATCCGGATGACTTTATGGACAGCTCCGGCAACGCAGCTGCCGACTTTGGCCGCTTCATGACCGGTTTCTTGGTTTTGATGGGTATTGGTGAGTTCGCACTTTTCGATCCCGGAAGCATGATCTGCGAGCGCCCCTGTCAATATCTGGTGACGAGTGCTTTGGCTCACGGTGCTTGCAATACCGGGTTTACTTCTTGAGACCGTCCGAGGCAGCTAACCAAATTTACTCGATCCAGCTCTCCCAGCCGCCCTTGCGCATTGCGGTGCTATCGAAATTCCCGCCATGGTCATGTCAATTGTTGGAGGTCTCCTCATCTACGGAACTATCATCAGCTTCTCGATGTTCTTCAAGGAGCAGGAGGACTTCTGAAAGCCAAGCGCCGTGCGTTCCAGCAAGGCAGGCTTCGCGTTGGATACCCACCCTGCAGAATGTTTCTCCACCTAGCATGAACCTATCCCCCCCCAATGTGTTCACCAGCTTTTCATATTTTTCACGAGCCATCGATATGATTTACCGTTCCGTAGGAGTATTACGGTGACTTTGCGTGTTTATGAGGTTTGCTATGATTTTGTGTTTGTCATTTGGCGATGCGGTCGATGTATTATAGCCACTATGCACCTATATAGAATATTGGCAGTACGGGCCTATCTCATTGCCGGTAAGATCATCCGATGTAGATTACCAAGTTGTCCGAATCACCTCGTCATGCGGCGATGCGTTTCCGCCTTGAGCTTATAATGGGATCACGTGGGATCGCGCTCCGGCGGCGCGTTCGTGTAAAAATACCCGCCGGACATCGACCAGCTCGGAACTTTTTGTACTTACGATTCTCAATTCTCTCGCTACCCGATAAACCTTGAGCTCACGATATGTGAGTTGCTTGTATAGTTCTAGATACGCAGAATGGATGTCTGGACTGGCGCGATCGCCTTAGAGGGCGGAGCACAACTCCACGGTAAGCCGAATCCGACAAAACTACTTGCGTGCATCTGCTAAGTCTTGTATTCAGGTCTACGATTAGTCGATAGATCATCCAACTGGCAATCTGATCTTTCAAAAGAATCATGTCTCAGCTTGCGCTGCTTCGTAAATCCGGCGCTTATACCCCTCCACGCGCGATCTGGTCCTAACCTCGAACTCCATGCGGGGAACCCCGAGACTACAATATGGCTCAAGGACAAGTTGACGAGTACTATTTGGCTGGAAGAAAACGAGCTTGACCGGCTGCAAATATTTCAGTGCCCGGTTGGTCTGCTTGTTCGTGTCGACAACGACGCACCAGCCAAAGCCTCCAGTACCGGCACAACCGACCTATTGATCCACGGCGTCCTCTCAACGACAGCCTCCTCCGAAAGGCCTCCCACCCCACCTGGATCGTCATCATCAGATCTGGAAGATCAGGTTCGATCTGCCACCAAACAAGAGCTTAGAATCTACGCTACTCCCATATCCGTATCTCTAATCACCAGAGCACAATCCGCGTCCGCACCTCCCAACACCGACGACTCCATACACGATGACGAGTTCGCTCACTTTCTCCCGGACATCTACTCTCCAAGCCCCAAACGCAAACGAGTTGCCACTCTCTTCGATTCCGTCACGCAGCATCATAAAAGAGTCCGGCAGAAGGGCGGCGAAGCGGTGTCGCAATTAATGGCACACTCACTCTCGCACGCCTCCCAACAGCAACTCCAAGCGCTACGGATCAAGCGCGAATCCGAGGAACTTTCTCTTGCTCAGATCGAACGCATTGCATCGCAGCGAGCACGGTCCCTTTCCATTGGAGGGAGCATTGCAGGGAAGACGCTTGAGTCTCGATTCGATGCCTCTCGACCCAGCAGCAGACGAGGCCAGCTGCGGGATCTTGGCTCTCGGAAAGGTACGCCCAATCCGTTCATCGACTCCACCACCACCACTACAACTTCGTCCACTTCCAAACGAGACTGTGGATCGTCACCCTCACTACCGCCGGGAGGCAAAGTTGAATATCCGACGACACCAAAAGAAGCCGGGGCAATCATTGCCGAGAATAAGAACACAATCACGCGGACGATCTTGACGTGCATGCGGCTTTATGGCTTCAACCGACCTACTGCGACACGCTCGGGAGGTTCCAGTAGACCGCAAACCGGGACCGGACCGGGATATCAGGACGAGACGCCGGAGGAGAAAGATCCGCGCATAGTAGCAGATGCCGGGTCAAATGCGGATGAAGATGAATTCAAGGCCATGTATCACGCGACCTATCGCGCGTCAACGTTCGCTTTGCGGAAGTATCTGAAGGAGACGGCAGCCGCGGAAGAATCTGGGCTGGTGGGGCTGCCACCATTTTTGGAGAAAGCGAAGGCAATGACGTGCATTGATGAGTTCTTGAGACTATTCTGCGAGGAGAACTAAGCCTGGCTGGCACAGGTGATGAATAATGAGTTATGATAAATACATAGTAAGCATGCTGGGTTGGTAGGGTCAAGGTGTTCGAGGGTGTAATAAAGTACGCGTGAAACTCTGGGGATCACTTTGAAACAAAAATATGATACCACAATATCAAATGACATAAACTAAATCAATCTATGGACAGAACATGATTGTTGAGTGTGCATTGTACACAACGGCCAGGAATGTATAACTACATGCAACACTCGGCCGGCCGATGATTCTTCCGAGCTCCGACCGGGCAAGCAACTGCATCATCGCCGGCAAGCTAGCGCGAATGACCGCAACCTGCCGATAACCAGTCCGAACATCTTCTACTACCTACTCCGTACCTTGACTATTTACCTTCAACTCGGCGACTACGATCTCACCTCCACCACCGTCTTTTCACTCACTCACTCACTTACATCCTGATCAGCTTGGGCAAACATGGACGTCTCCAACAACCGCCTCTTCCGATGGTCCAAGCCTGAGTGGCTTAACAACTCCGCCGTCCGCAATGCAGGCGTCTACACCTCCGGCGCACTGGTAAGCTTTCACCTTCAGTCCCTCTCCCTTCGTGTCCCCGGTCCACCCTTTCCTACTCCCATACACTTGGAAGCCTATGTGATATTAATGTCAAAATGTACCGAACCAGTTCTCCCTAGGCTTCTTCTTCCTCATCGACGCGGCCGCCTTCTCGCACAGCGCCAAGAACGGCTCCAGCGTGCACGTGAAATTCGTCGACTGGATCCCCGGCATCTGCTCGGCGCTGGGGATGCTGGTGATCAATTCGATCGAGAAGTCCCGGCTGCATGCGGATAGCTTCAGTTACAGCGGGAGTGGGGTCGCGTGGAAGGCGCGGTTTGTCTTGTTTCTGGGGTTCGCGCTGTTGGCCGGGGGGTTGGCGGGGAGTGTGGTATGTTTATTCCTTTGTGTTCTTTTGTTGTTTCTCCGTTGGGCTTGGGCTTGGGACCTTACGGGGAGGGGGCCATGGGCATCTGATGCCTTTATAAGGAAATTGGCTCGCTAACAATTGCTTCGCAGACGGTCATGGTACTCAAGTATCTGATCAAGTCGTACCCGTTTCCCACCTTGTATTTTGGAATCGCCAATGTCATTGCTAATGGGTTGGTGATGTTGAGGTATGTTTTCTTTTCTCTGGTGGTTGTTTTGGTCACTGGACAGTGGGGGCTAATGCTGTTGGTGTAGTTCGGTGGTGCTCTGGGTTTCGCAGAACATTGAAGACGATTATACCTATAATCTGGCTCTATGAATGAAGATCAAGGGTTGGAGTGGATGAAGAGGGATATAGTGGGTGGCTTTGCAGCGAGGATGGGTTCACTACTGGACCTAGGGAGGGAGGTTATGATTTCAGGTTGAGCAATTGGACTCTGGTGCTTTTTCTTTGCGTGATTGGCGTTTCTGTTTTATGTTGTCTTTAATTGCATTTGTTGGTTGGTCCTTGTCTGTATGTGGTTCGTTTAGCCTGTAAAATCGCGCATGGTTATTCATCTATTTGATACATGTTCTCGGATGATATATCTAGTAACAGTGTATGCCTGGTGGCAACATTGACTGCTTATGCACACTTATCTTGGTAATGGTAGGAGCAAAGGGCACAAATTGTTGAGTGGCCATGATTGCATACATGAGTGTTGCCTATGGTGCATTCTTTAGGCCACCGCAAACTTCCTACCAATATGTCCACGATGTATACGTATTGCCAAGAATAGGAAACGTCAGAACCGATAGGCTGAAAGATATATTTTGCGTAAACAAGACTTCTTTTCCTTGAACCTGTGTTAAATGTTCATTGCAACAGATAACCAAAATACGTATTAAAAAAAGTGGGTATATTCTCATGCATAGCAGTAAGGGCTCATGACATGCAGAGCCATGTAAGCGGATGATCCCGCCCCAAGTGCGGGACATGATCTGGTTCATAGAGGTCCAGGTCCCATCATGGACCCAAACCAAGTGCTTGTTACCAGGCAGTTCTATTCCCAGATCGACAGGCAACTTTATCAGCAGCCAGGAAAGACGCTCTGGTAGATATGCAGTCGCCTGATTGTGCTCGGAAGCAGTTCAACGTCGGCGAGCTGTGAATATATTCCGGTAATTCATGATTCGACAAGCCTAATAACCCGGCCTTCACGGCCGTACAGCTAGTGGCGATTTCGTGCAGGGCGTGCGACAACCTCATAATATCGGCCTTCAGAGCCAAGCCGCTCAAGCAGACTCAACCTGGTGAGCACGCAGCTTGTCCATGAGCGCATCCACAGCATCCATGTCGCCAGCGTCGATCTTGTCGCGAGAGTATCCCTCAGGCAGGCTCTTGGTCACTTCATCCATGGCAGGTTGGTAGTTGCGGACCGCGGAGGAGATGGCGTAGATGGCTTTCTTGCGAACATTGGGGGTAGAATCGGTGGTGGAGATCGTCACAAGCTTCGGAAGGGCGTTGAGAACGACGAGCTGACATTGTCGTTAGATTTTAGGCAGAGAGGCGTTGAGGAGGGGGGGCATACCTTATCCTGTGCCTTCTCATTATTCTGCACCGCAGTTCCAATACACCAGGCGGCCATGCGTCTCATCTCTGCCTCCTCGTGCTGCAGCAACTCCACCAAAGGAGTCCACAGGCCCAAGGGCTCCAGGTTATTGGCATTATCAATGCCCTCAATCAGCTGCTCGAAGTTGTCGAACGCGATCAGCTTGTTCTCGAGATCCACCTCATCGGAGCGCAGAGCCTCCATAGACGCTTTCATCAGGTCGGCGTCGGTGGGACCGCCGAAGAGCGCGGAAAGCATCTCGGGATTGAGACCACGCGAAGCGGCGCTGGAGGGCTGCGGGGTACCATCAGCAGCAGCAACAGCCCCGTTGTTGTCACCTTCGTCGGCGCGGTTCTCGGTCGAAGCTTTGATGCTCCATTTGAGCAGGTTGTTCATGTTGGCGTCCATTTTGGGGAGGTTTTTAGGTCAGAAAGCTGTAGGATAATTCGAAAAATAGATAGATCAGTCGTGACTGGAACTTAAATATGTACTATTACAGAACAAGCAGGAATGAGTCAGTCGTGGGGAATAATTATGGGTATGGTGGTGTTGAGGAAGTAGGAGAGGTCCCGGCCACTCTCAATAACTGACAATTTGGCGGGCGAAAAAAAAAAACCGGAGTGACGTTCGGGAGGGATCCAGAGGGTTCATGCGGTTCCCGCTACCTTCCACTCTCTTCCATCGCCAGCTTACATTGGCAATAGCTAGCAATCAAGGGCTATTACTACCATTCAATCATGCATTTGGTCAATGTCTATTCCAAAGTCACTTACGCTTCTAGGCTCGATATCTTCTCTCTGGGGACGGTAATTGCTTTCGATCTGGTTGAGCAATGCTGGCGATGAATACCCCGCCATCGGATACCCCGCGATGCGGTCATTTGTGATATCAGATCAAGAAACAGTCAACCGTTAAAACACATCGTGCCATTCGTCTGACATTGCATGTACGTCCTTGGTTGTCGTGATTAGGCGAACACCAAAACCTTACATCCTCGAGGATAAGCAATTGGTCCAGGTGCTCGTTGAATCGGCCCCTCTCCTTAACCCCCCATCCCCCAAAAGAATCACATTAGGGGCGGTTATGAATGATCAGGCATCAGTCGATCGATTGTCGCCCATTACCAACGAAGCACTAATCGTTACATTGAATTTCGGGGGGTTTGTCGAGCTCCCTCCGAAAATTGACCCTCTTTCCGGTCGGGTCAGAAATGAAGAAAGACGATCATGGACCCGTCCAGGGACACCGAGCACAAATGACAGAGTACGCTAGAAAACGTCCAGATGAATGAGGGGCCGACACTTTACGTGAAGTCAATAAACAACCCCCCTTAGACTACGACGGACTTAAGAGCTCTCGACTGGGTCCATTCTTTCGAATCGAAGGAAAGGGGAGGGATCCAGAAGCCGGAGGGGCCTTCCGACCGTCCGACTATCAGGAGTTTAGGAAGGGGGGAGGGGGGAAGTGAGCGATGATGATTCCTTGGCCTAGACTAGACTAAGCTATTATTATCGCGCGTGGCATCATCGGACATCATTCAGCAACCTGTTCTCTGGTCCGGACGGCGGCGACGACAGCAACCCTGGATCAGCATCGATTGTGCCCCACGAGGGATGCGCAATGCGCAATGCTTTTACTCCAGACTTTCCGCAGCAACAATCATTCTGCCTGAAGGCAACCACTATTTGAATGTTAGATGTGTGTGTTGATAGGTGTGTATATAAGATGGAGAGGAAGAACGGGGGGGGGATCATGGATGAGAATCCAGTGAGCTCGTGGTTCGGAAATCGTATTCGCATTACACATTTACACATTTACCTCCTCCCATCTCCAGTACCCGGTTTTTCCACCACCCCCCAATTGTGAGGCCGTCCCCGAATTGGGTAGTGTGGCGGTGACAGCAACTGGCACTAAAGACTCACTAAGTTGAGCTGGTGCAATCAACGAACTGCTTTACACTCAAACTAGACTCAGACCAGTCTAGACAAACCGACAAACCCCCACTATCTCTTTCTCTCCCTCTTTCCTCCTTTTCCCCTCCTTCTGCCTCCCCTGTCCCAGAAGGACAACTATACAGTACTGTTACCGAGGAGTTCAGTACACAACGCCCTCTTCCTCCTCCTGAGACCACCAGATCTAGGCAATAAAACCCCCCTCACCCGTAAGGAAGAGCTCAAGAACCCAATCCCTACCTACCCATCAATTGATTTAATCCACTAATTGTTAGCAAAGGTTTTTAATTTGTGGTGGTTGTCTTATTCTTGTTCTTGTCTTGTTCTGTGTTGTGTTTGCTGACTACGCACCCTCACCCGCCGACCTCCTAAACTCACAGCCTTTCCCTTTCCCTCTCTTGCCTCTCTCTCTCTCTCTGTCTGGTGCTCGCTCTACCAATAACTCACTCAACTCTCTTTCCCGCCTTCTCTCCCCTTCTCTCTCCCTCTCCCTCTTCCTTTCTTACCTCTTCCTCTATCTCTCTCTCTCTCTCTCCTTCCCCTCTCCCATCTCATCACCACCACCCACCCAACCTCACCACCATCACCACAAACCACCCTCCTCTCCTCTAATTCTCTTCTCTCTTTTCTTTTTCTTTCCGTAGTTCGATTCTTAATCCCACAGTCACCATGGAAGGTAAGCTTTCGGCCACCTTGCGTCTCTCGCTTGCTTCCCCAAGCTCTCCCCTGAAACCGTCCTCTCCCCTCCACCCACCCCCCCCTCGTCTCATCTCCATCATACTTCACCAACTTAACATTTTTGCTTTTCGCTAACTGTCTTCTCTTCAAATCCATAGAGGAAGTTGCTGCTCTCGTCATTGACAATGGGTATGTTCTGAGATTGCTGATGGTTTCTGGCAATGGAGCTTGTTCCTTGTGTTCCGCCCATGCTGGGGGGGTGAGATGGCAAAACATACGTGTCGGCTCCGGTCGCGACACTGAACAATCCCCGGTTGCCAACGTACTTGCCTGAATCTCCCCCCTCAAGCCTAGGGAAATATGAGAGCTATTGAGCTTCAACCATCATTCATCCGAAGCTCGTACTAACTGGTCTTCTCCAGTTCGGGTATGTGCAAGGCCGGTTTCGCCGGTGACGATGCTCCCCGTGCCGTCTTCCGTAAGTCATTCCCCCTCCCCCCACCAGTTTTTCGGACTACCCCTCCCTACCCTCGTGATGGCCACCCCCTCTGCAAGGCATGCTTTCATAGCTCCCTTGCATTGAGTTGGCATTATTGCGGGGGAGGAGAGCGGGCGGTGAATTGCCTCTCCTTTCTGTCATCATTCTAGGATGCTAACCATTGCCTACAGCCTCCATTGTCGGTCGTCCCCGTCACCATGGGTAAAGCTTCCCCTTTTCAATCCGAAATGAGCATCCATGAATCTAATGAATTCGCAGTATCATGATTGGTATGGGTCAGAAGGACTCCTACGTCGGTGATGAGGCACAGTCCAAGCGTGGTATCCTCACCCTCAGATATCCCATCGAGCACGGTGTTGTCACGAACTGGGATGACATGGAGAAGATCTGGCACCACACCTTCTACAACGAGCTCCGTGTCGCCCCTGAGGAGCACCCCGTTCTCTTGACCGAAGCCCCCATCAACCCCAAGTCCAACCGTGAGAAGATGACCCAGATCGTCTTCGAGACCTTCAACGCCCCCGCCTTCTACGTCTCCATCCAGGCTGTCCTGTCGCTGTACGCCTCCGGTCGTACTACTGGTATTGTTCTGGACTCTGGTGACGGTGTCACTCACGTCGTTCCCATCTACGAGGGTTTCGCCCTCCCCCACGCCATCTCGCGTGTCGACATGGCCGGTCGTGACCTGACGGACTACCTCATGAAGATCTTGGCCGAGCGTGGTTACACTTTCTCCACTACCGCTGAGCGTGAAATTGTCCGTGACATCAAGGAGAAGCTTTGCTACGTCGCCCTCGACTTCGAGCAGGAGATCCAGACCGCCTCCCAGAGCTCCAGCCTCGAGAAGTCTTACGAGCTTCCTGACGGCCAGGTTATCACCATTGGTAACGAGCGCTTCCGTGCTCCTGAGGCTCTCTTCCAGCCCAGCGTTCTGGGTCTCGAAAGCGGTGGTATCCACGTCACCACCTTCAACTCCATCATGAAGTGTGATGTTGATGTCCGTAAGGATCTGTACGGCAACATTGTCATGGTGAGTTTCTGTGTTTGATTGTTCCCTCATGAGCGCTCACTAATGATGAATTAGTCTGGTGGTACTACCATGTACCCTGGTATCTCCGACCGTATGCAGAAGGAGATCACCGCCCTTGCTCCTTCCTCGATGAAGGTCAAGATCATTGCTCCTCCCGAGCGCAAGTACTCCGTCTGGATCGGTGGTTCCATCCTGGCCTCCCTCTCCACCTTCCAGCAAATGTGGATCTCCAAGCAGGAGTACGACGAGAGCGGTCCCTCCATCGTCCACCGCAAGTGCTTCTAAGGTATGTTGTGTTCTTCTGTGGTGAACTGGTACGTGTGCTAATCTTTTGTAGCTCTTGCGCGTGATTCGTTTCGTACTCTCATATTCCCTCATGTATCAAAAGACCCGACGGAGACACTGGTGACTGGCGGGCCCTCTCTGACTCGCACTAGGAGGAAGATCGCCTGAAAAAGGAACTTTTATTTTAGCTGTCGAATAGAGATGGTTTTTACTTTTTTTTTTCATTTTGAAACACGCTTGCCACTTGGCCCAGGGCCACCATCCCTGGCCACCGCCCGGAAAATCCGGCGACAAGCGGACCAGGCAATGGTGTAGGACCGAGATGTATATGGGACTTGTGGTCAGTCTGGGGAAAACTCTCTTCATATAAGTCTTTTACACTCGTGTTTAAGTCTTGCACGCGTATTCCTTCTCAGCTGTGACACTATGAATTGCTACTGCAAATATGATGTCTCCGCAAACCTGCTCACCGTAGTCACGCCTGCCGTAGCTGCTGATGAATGAGTTCTGCGCGGGTCGAATGTTCATCATCTCGTGATTTTGGTATTCCATGGCGGAATTTACCCCGGCTTTGTTTGCAGTCAATGTTCGTGCATATTATTTGAGATTTGAGGCTCTGTCCATGATGTCATCTTCTCTTGGCCGGCTGGGACCTTCTCATCTACCGGGCACATGACCAGGCTAAGTGATTATTGTGTCTTGCAGGTACTGTTGGCTCTGGGGTTATCAGCATCGACCTACTGTCTGTCTGCCTTGCACGTGATTTGAACTAGGTTCAGTGCTGGTTGAACATGGCTGTTTTATAGACTTAGCAGGAGGATGTAGTGGGTTGTCAGAGAGCGAGGAATAGGGATAGACGGGAATAGAACAAGGTCTATTTCCTCGAAGCATTATGAGTAAGATAATGCGGAGACATGAAGTAATTTTAACTCTTCAGGACGAGGAACGTGTCCGCTGTCGGACAAGAGTAGATGAGATTTTTCTTTTTTTTGCATGTATTGCATGTTGAGAACCAGGTTCAGAATCCACAAATTAGATAAATGTTCATGCTCGTGTGGGGCTCGAACAAAGAAATCATGTCACTCTCATTGAGAGGAGGTATATGTAATAAAATCATAAATACATCCAAGAAACAAACCAGGCAAACCATGCTCTGGTGGCACAAATCGTAATAAACATCAATCACACCGCTCCCTCATCTAAACATAATCCCGAGGAAGTACTTTTCATTCAAGTTTTAGGAGAAAGGGACAAACGAAAAACCAATTATTGCAGCAGTTGGTATAAATCATTTCAGGATAAGGTTTAAGCGTCCCAGCTCTCCAATCCAGTGAGGACACATCCCTCCTCGCCCTCTTTTCTGGCCTGGAGCTCTCCGATCTCATAGACGGTCTCACCCTCCTTCTGGAGGAGGTCCTTGACGGCAGCCTCGGAGCCCTTCTCGACGGCAATGACCATACCGACACCGCAGTTGAAGGCGCGGGCCATTTCAATGGCCTCAACGTTTCCGGTCTGCTTGAGCCAGGCGAAGACCGAGGGCAGCTTCCAGCCCTCCACGTTGATGTGTGCGGTCAGGGTTGAGGGCAACATACGGGGAACGTTGTCAACCAGACCGCCACCAGTGATGTGAGCAAGACCCTTGATGGCGGAAGAGTTGGGAGCGGTGGGGGTGGCGGAGGGAATAGAGAGGGCTTTGAGAAGGGGCTTCACGTAGATACGAGTGGGAGTGAGAAGGGCCTGGCCGAGTGTCTGGGGCCCGGTGGCAGAGGGCATGGTGAAGGGAGCGGCGGCATCGTAGCTAAGGCCGGAGCGTTCAACGACCTTGCGGACCAGCGAGTAGCCGTTGGAGTGAGGGCCAGAGGAGGCCAGAGCCAGCAGCACGTCACCGGCCTTCATGGCCGCGGTCTCGGGAAGGATAGGCCGGGCGTTGGGGCCCGTAGTGTTGATGGCACCGACGGCGGCACCAACAGCATCGTAGGTGTTGTCGACGAAAAGACCGGGCATCTCGGCGGTTTCACCACCAATCAGGGCACAGCCAGCCTGAACACAGCCATCGGCGACACCGGTAACGAAGGCGGCGGCCGTGGGCACGTCCAGGTGACCGCAGGAGTAGCAGTCGAGGAAGAAGAGGGGCTCCGCACCCTGAACAACCAAGTCGTTGACGTTCATGGCGACAAGGTCAATACCCACGGTGTTGTGTACACCAGCCGCGTGAGCGATCTTGAGCTTGGTGCCGACACCGTCAATGGCACCGATCAGGGTCGGGGAGTTGGGGTCGTAGGCGGAGTTGGCGGCGGCGAGGGAGAAGAGGCCACCAAAGCCACCGATCACGGCGTCAGTACCAGGACGCTTGGTCTTGGCGACAGAGCTCTTGATTTGGTTGACGAGGTCGTTGCCAGCATCAATGGAGACACCCGCAGCGGCGTAGGTGAGAGAATCCTTCTGGGCGGCAGCGGCATCGCGCTGGCGGAATGCCCGATGGGCGATGTCCTTGCGGTAGAACATGTCCTCGAAGTGAATGGTGGAGATACCCTCATAGCTCTTGCGGACAGCCTCTTCAAGGCTGGAAGCGGTCGCGGTGGACGCAATGACACGGCCACCGGCGGTCTGCAACTCGCCGTTGACAAAGTTGGTGCCGGCGTGGAAAATGAGGGTCCCTTCGGTGGGAGAGTCAAGAGTAATCTTCTTGCCCTTGGCGTAAGAGCCAGGGTAGCCACCAGCGACGGCAATGACCGTGGTGGAGAAATTGGGCTTGATCTTGATGGAAACACCGTCAAGCCAGTGTTCCGTGCAGGCAACCATGATCTCGGCCAAATCGGTATCATCGCTGAGCAAGGGCAGCAGGGTCTGGGTCTCGGGGTCCCCACCACGAACATTGTACTCAAGGACCTTGGGGCCGTCCTTGGTCATCATCAAACCGGTAAAGAGAATGCCGACGAAAGGGAAGCCTGGAAGAGGTATTAGTGTGATGCAGACACCAAAGGAGGGATGATGGCGGACCGTCTCTTCTCATGCCGTCAACAGATGGCTGCACAATGGTGCGGTCGATCTCATCCAGCACGGCCTTGGAGGAAATGGGGGTCGGGGCGTAGCAGCCCATGCCACCGGTGTTGGGGCCCTGGTCCCCGTCAAAGATGCGCTTGTGATCCTGGGCAGCCGGAAGAGAACGGATGGTGTAGCCGTCGGAGAAAGTGAGAACACTGAGTTCATCCCCCTCCAGGTATTCCTCGATAACGACCTCGCTGCCAGCCTTACCAAACTGGTTCTCAACCATCATCTCACGAAGAGCCTGGTGGGCTTCCTCCTTCGTGGTAGGGATGATGACACCCTTACCACCGGCCAGGCCGTCGGCCTTGATCACGACCTGGTGGGAAACGGAGTCGAGATACTGGCGAGCGGGCTCATATTCATAAAAGTTCTCGTAGGCGGCAGTGGGAATGTTGTGGCGCTTCATGAAATCCTTCGAGAAGGTCTTGGAGCCCTCCATGCGGGCAGCGGCCTTGGAGGGACCAAAGCATCGGATACCGACTGTTTGTGACCGTGGTTAGTAAGGCGGCGCTGACTTCTGTGGCTTGAATTTGTGTTTGTTGAGAATACTCACCGGCCTGGAAATAACCCTGGATGCCGTCCACTAGGGGAGCCTCAGGACCAGGTACCACCAGATTCACGCCGTTCTGTTGGGCGAAGGCCACTAGTCCGGGGTAATCATCGCCCTTGACGTTGGCGTTTTGAATCTTGTCTGAGGCACCGCTGCCGGTACCGCCGTTTCCGGGAGCGACGAAGACGGTGTCGACGCGAGGCGACTGGCTCAATTTCCAGGCCAGCGCATGTTCACGACCGCCATTGCCGACAATGAGCACGCGCAACCGCTCGGTAGTCATGATGAGAGAAGGGGGGAGGGGGAGGCGCGATGGGCTCGAGTGAACCTGAGGGATTGGGTCGAAATTAGTATGGGACGGGACAGAGATGGTGGGGTGGTGGTGGTGGTTACAGGGTGGGACGATAAGAGTCAATTGCAGTCGGAGATAGAGAAGGAACAGGAGAAACGAAGGGAAAGAAGACAAAGAGGAAGAGGAAAAGATGAGCGATGCTTGGGAGGGTGACGGGAAAGACAGAAGCTCTCATAGAGAGAGAGGAGGGGGGGGTTTGAGTCAGTCAATACTCAAGAGTCAAAGTGGAGTCTCTCTTGTCTTTCTCCATCTTTTGTCTCTGGTATGAATCTGACGGATTCCCATACAGTAATTTCTCAATGTCTACACCAATCTGAAGACAACCTTAAGCAACTCACCTAGCAAGCGACCTGCGCGGGAAAAAAAAAAGAAAGGGATGAATTCAAACAGCCCACGAAGTTGACGGTTGAGGGATGGTGGGGGAAGTTTTAAAAGTCAAATCGTCGGTCTTCTTTTTTTTTTTTTTTAGCAGCGATGTCGGATTTTGCCTGGGTTGGCCGCCCGGCGGGGAAGCGGTGATTTGCCCCGACCCCGGATTGATAGGATTGGCCTGAGTGTCTAGGCGGTCGGGTCTTCTCACCGCCTCCGCTGGCAGAAAGGATTCGACTGTTAGTTGAACCTGGCAAAGCGGCAAAAAAAAATAGTGATAAGAGCAACCAACAACTTTTGCCGCCTGCCGCCCCGGAGGTTTCAATTCTTCTCATCTGGTCCATCGTCTATTTCGTTTTGGTCTTTCTACATCTCCTCCATATCCTTGTCTTCACCTTCACATAGAACTGAACTCGGTTCCCCCTTGATATAGCCCTGAATGCTTCGGGCTTCGTGGCGGTCCGCCGTGACCCCCACGAGGGGTCACGTCTGCTGGTCGTGTCTTTCCCGTGGCTTGACTGCGCCTCCGCATCAGCAGTTGTGGGCGCGTTCTTTCCAGAGCAGGTCTCGCCTGCGCTCCCAGGCTTCAGCTAGCACCGAGACTGAGAGCCTGCCTAATCCTCCGGCTCCCAATCAGTCCGACATTAATCAACAGCCTGGATCGGAGCCGCAGTCAGGATCGCATCCTAAGGCTGATCACAATGAGGTCTCCAAAGAAGACGGCTTGCCCAAAGAAGCTTCTGACAAAAAGGAGCCGGATCTTGAATCACCCGGGGGAAGGACTCTGGTTTTTGCTAGAACAACACAAACCACTTCCGGTCAACTCAAAGCGCGACAATCTCTAAAACGTACGTTTGATACGAGCTTCCCTCGCGAGCCTGAGCCGGAAAATGAATTCTTCATGAACTGACTGTTGTGCAGCGCTCCCAGTGAAAACAGCGGATGTTCCCGGCCTAGCATTTGGACTGGATCGAGTTTTGTTCAAGTAAGAGCCACCCTCTCTGTTCAAGGCGTGACAATGATATAGCCGCGAGACCTAACAATTGTTCAGCCAGGGAGTTTACACGCTGCGAGACCCAAGATCCAGAGTTTACAACTTCGATCCGTACTTGGGTTCCATTATGCCGGTTACCGAATTTGACTTCCAAGCTTTGAAAGATTACATCACATCCTCCAAGGATAAACAATTGCAGTCGCTCGCGCGCGAGGCGGGCAGGAAATATATTGGATCCTCTTCGAGTATGACTTCCGTGCTATCGCACTTTCACTACCTGCTGTCCGCTTGGCGACCCGTCGACACTAGCAGCTTGTCTCAGGGCTTCAGTGAGGAATTGAAGACCTTCACGCGGCTCTTGCGAGCGCCTGCCGCCATGTTCCTGCACTATCAGGACGGCGTCTATGCTATTGATGCCGACAAGGAATTCGACACAGCAAATATTTTAATGAACCTGGGTAAATCGATGGAGAAGCTACTCACGCTGCCCAAGTCGGATTTTGAGCGCTATCGACGGTCCAGCGCCAACAAGATCACCCCCGAGGAAGAGAATGCGATACCGGAATCTTACCACTATTCGACACTCGGCGACTTCCTTATGCGTTCGCAATTAGACGCGCACGATCCACGACTCCCCGGTACCGGCATGTTCGATCTGAAGACCCGTGCCGTGGTGTCAATTCGGATGGATGCGCGTAACTTTGAGCATGGCCTGGGTTATGAGATCCGCCGGCCCCTCGGGCTGTACGAATCGTATGAGCGTGAATATTATGATATGATTCGAGCTGCCTTCCTCAAGTACTCGCTGCAGGTACGCGTCGGGCGTATGGACGGCATTTTCGTGGCATTCCACAATATCGAGCGTATCTTCGGTTTCCAATATATTTCCTTGAACGAGATGGACAAGGCGCTACACGGCCAATTCAAACTCGACTTGGGTGATCGCGAATTCGAACTCAGCATTCAGCTTTGGAATGACATCCTGAACCGTGTCACGAAAGCCTTCCCTCAGCAGTCACTTCGTTTCCATTTCGAAACACGTGGTAATCGCCCTGGCGCGAAGCCCCACATGTATATCTTCGCGGAACCCGTCACGGCAGACGAAATCGCGGCAATACAGAACAAGAACAAGGAGGCCATTGACGCCTATCAGAAACGCGTTTTGAATTTGCCCGATGAGCCGGTGGTGGAGTCGGCCAAGGACGAAGGCGATGATGAGGCCGTCGAGGATGAAGATCCGAAATATGACAGTACCTTGAAAGACCCTACTGACGCCGTGGCTGAGGGGGCGGAAGATGAGGATTACTTCTGTCTGGACAGCAAGCCTGAAATTGATACGACCAAGAAGCTCTTTGCTGTTGTGCTCACAATCGACAATTACGTGAACGATAAGTTGGTCCCCAGACCTGAGAATTTCGGTAAGAAGGATAAGTGGGAGGTCTCTTACAAGATCCATCACCTGGACCCAGAGGATTCGCAGACGCATCGGATGTATGCTCATTGTCAGAAACGTCGCCGGGAAGCTCTCGATTTCGGGAAATCGGACGGACTCACTCCCTATCTAAAGAAGCTCCGTTCAATTTCTCAGGCTGGTCGCCGTTACCGCGAGCGGGAGAATCAACGCGATCGGAAAAACGCGCCTGTTGTCTATCGCACTCTCCCCCCTACGGGCATTGGTTCTCCTATCAAGGTACATGTCCGCCACCTAAAGTTGACTGAGAAGGGCAGTAAACAGGCTGCCAAAAAACCTCACAAGAAGGCTTCCCAGAAGCATACCACCAAGCCCGCCGGCAAACCTCGGCCCACCAAGAAGACCAGCGAGTCCCCTCCCGAGCCAGAGCCATCTGCTGAGCAGCCTGCCCAGCAGACCTCCACTCAGGAGAATTAGCCATCGGAGGAGTCCAGATCTCATCAAATCCCACCGCCATTACCACCACTACCATCATCATCATCATTCAGTCGAAGAATTCGGTCGGAAAACTCCTTGGCATGTAACTTTCACCAAAATCAACTCATCTTCAGATAGGGGCCTGTGTAATTTCAACGCGCATATTTGTGCTGGATAGGAGTTGAATGATTCCCAAGATTAGAAAGCAATTGATTTTCCTCTTGTCCATCTACTATTGAGTTTCTTTCGTCGGATCTATATAATACGAAACCATTCATCTCTCTTATCTTTCTTTCTTTCTTTCTTTCTCTCTCTAACCCTAATCCTGCACCCCCGCCGCTCTTTTCACTTACCCTACGAGGTGGTATTCTTGTGGGACACGTAGAAGTAGATACCTCGATCGTATTGTGTATTTTAGGTACAGTACCATAGTATGGAGTGGATGGCAGCAGATGTCCTCCGGCTGAATATGTAATCCGATCAATAAGCTGATTGATGGAAGGCACGACCGAGTCATGGTCTTATCTAGACGGGTTCAATGATGAAAGGATGGAAGGGCGGAGTGTACAGAAAGAACAATGGTGACTGAATAAGAGATCAAACTTGGGTTCTGCAAGTGGATGGATGACTCGTGTGAAAGATCAGTGAAGTCAGTCGAGTCAGTCGAGTCAGTCGAGTCGCTACAACAAATAGATCTACCCTGGGGCCTTTGTGGCACCAGGCACCGGGATCTCATCCCACAAGCATAGCGGAGGTAGATCTCCCCTTGAGAATGCAGGAACTTCGAATTGGTCATCATAATGAGTGCAACAATGTACAGCCGCTGAGAATCCATTCATTTGACTTCTGACTTCGGAAGACTCGTGAGAGTCAACAAAGCTAACTAGTTACAAACCCACTCATTCACCGTGGGTATCATCATTCTTTTTGTTCAGCCCACCCTATTTCGCGTTCAATCCCGCTTGCAAGGGTGGATGAAAGGTATATTCTATTGACATTAACAATTATGGGCATCATGGGGTCCGCAAAGAGAAAGAGACAAAATGTATCCGACAGACTTGGAATGCGCCTCACTGGAAACCCAAAGATACTCAAACATCTCTCGATGGAACTGTTGATTTGAACGCCGCCTAGCCGATGCGCCAACCACGCAGGATGATGCAGAAAATGAAAAGAGAAAAAAGTTCAAAGTTGTCCTGCTTTTCTCTCCGCCATCTGCCTTTCCTGAGGCGGGCCGGAGTAGAAAAGTCAGGATCAGTGTCGTGAGAAGAGAAAAGGAACGAAAAAAGTATGGATGATATGGGACAGCACCAGACACAGATGACCAAACTGGCATAGAATCCAGGAGATCCAAAACCAGGTCAGGCCTGAGTGTCGAAAAGGAGTGAAATGCTCGAAGGTGGGCGAAGCCACGTAGAAAGGAGCAAAAGCACAGGCGTGCCTTGTAGAACAAATGGAAGCAAGAGCGAATTGAGGGTAGTGGGGGGAGGTATCACGCAACAGTGGCAGGAAAATCGTGTTTTTCTTCGACTAGCGAAAACAGCTTGATATGGTTGTCTCGTTGTTAGATTCATTAATCATGTCCTTAGGACGAGAATGGCCGGCTTATCGGAAATTATCCAATTCAAGATGAGGAGGTGCCCAGTCCAGTCTTGGTGGCCGATCATTTGATACACACACTGCACCAGACCTCATTTTCTCCATTCTTTTGCGTTCTTTGGATGCACCACTGCTCAAGAACCCCCTCAGGGTGGAGGATGCCGATCCGTAGGTGCTTCGCGTACTTGTGCCGGTTCCTGTAGAAACAGTGCTGGAGCTGCGGGCACTGCGAACGCTGCTGGTCTTGTTCACCACAGGGGGTATGGCTGGAACTGGCACTGCCAAACGAGGGTTGGAGCCCGTATATTCTAAAGGCAGGAATGACTGGCTTCCATAATCTGCTAATGAAAAGGGGGCTGTTTGCGGGCGTTCACGAAGCTCAGCGACCAAGCTACTCTCGGCGTCAAGGCTGTTGAACATTTCCAGATGAGTCTTCGGGCTGGTACCTCCATCATCGGGCTGCGGTGGTGGTTGGATTTCATTGGTCGATACGGTTACATCCAGTTTCAAGTTATCGAGCATCAGTCCCAGCGTTGTTGCAGTAGCCGGCCGCCCCTCGCTGGAATTGTCATCGTCGAGCTCGGCGCTACCATCGTCCAAGCCATGCGCCAGGTTGTAGTTTCGAAACAGGTATCGGCGCAGGCGCGCGACCTCTGCGTCCCACTTTTGGTTCAATGATTGCAAGATGACTTCGACATCTTGTTGCATCAAAGAAGCATCCGCAGGGGAGAGCAGGTTGGAAGTTGAGGCACCCGAACGGTGAAGAGATGATGGCTGCTGTTTGGACAGTTTGCTGCTACTCGAGTTTTTGTTGGTTATGGCAGCCTGGATCGAGCGACGAATAGAGCTGGTGGTAGAGCTCTGAGCCAAGCCGACGTCCCGCTTAACGCTCTCAACTTCTCGCCGCACCCGTTCAAGAGACTGGACCCGGTCTCGGTCCATGCACGAAAGACTCAGTAAGGATCGGTTTCGCTGCAGACCATTCACCAGGACCGTGAACGACTGAAGATTGATGTCGTTATTCTCACAGTAAACCTCGCGCAGACAGTCATTAGCTTCCAGCACAGATGCCAGGGTGTTTGCGCCCTGCAAACCAAGTTTCTGATGTTCTATCCTCAAGACTTGCAGAGACTTGTTCTTCTTCAAGCCAGTGAGGGCCAGATTGAGACCGATCCCAAACCGGGCGACATCCAAGTGCGCGCTCTCCCCACTGATGTCCAAATCTTCTAGCGTCTCGTTTTCCTCGAACATTAGCTGTAGTGCCTTGCAAGTCTCCGGCCCGGCATCGTAGGGCAGGGACGCTTTCGAGATATCCAGGTATTTCAGAGAACGATTCACCCGTAGAGCTTCGACTAACTCTTGGAACTGCTCCTCTTTCTTGAAATCAATCATCCGCATAGACAAGTGCGTTGGAGTCTTGTTCTGAGCTATGGCGTCGAATAGATACGAGCAACCCTGATCCAGGCGGTTCTCGTTTACATGCAGATGCAGGTTGCGAGACTCAAGGACCGCCATAGAATGCAGGAAAATCGCCACGTCCTGGCCACTCAGACCACACTGGTCGAATTTGACAACGCGCAAGCCTTGGGAGCGATCGCTAGCCAGATACGTGGCAATAGCGTCAACGGTCTGCCGGTTGACGGCTGTCCGGCTCAGCGAAAGTTCCTCAAGGCGCCAATTGATCAATGTCTCAGGCGTGAGGAGTGGCTCCGGACCAGATGTGCGCGAGATTCGCGACAAGTCCAGAGTCTTGATGTGGCTGAAGTAACCAAGATACTGCGGAAGGATATCCGGGGTCAGGCGGCCTTGTACGCCGGAAATGTTGATCGCCTCCAACGTGTGCGACTGAGCAACGACGGTTGACAGTAACAAGTCCAGATCGTGCACAGATAGGCCACAATTGCCCACTTCGAGTGCCCGCATATGACTTCCTCGCTGCGAGGCCGCATCGACAAGATAGTCCAAGTCGGAATCTCCCAGTTTGATGCCATTGAGAACAACCCAGTCCACGCTCGTCAGCTCTCGACGACATATCGGAAAGATCGCCTCTGGGATACCACAGCCGGGGTCATGACTTTCACTATCAGACTTGGGGACGCGGCTCAGTGTGTAGGAAAAGTCAAGGCGTCTGAGCCATTTGCTCTTCAGTGTCAAGGCCCGAACTTCTTGAGATAAAACAGATAGGTTCTCTTGCCCGGGAATGTTAATGGTTGCACCAGCACGGCTCAGAAGAGCATCTTTGTCTGTCCCATGCGTGTCGCGCAGCCCCTGGAGAGCATCCAAGCTCACTCCGCTGAATGAAATCGCACGGAAAGACTCGTTGTAGCGCAAGGCCCGCAGAACGGCGATCAATTCCAAAGCCGTATACTTCCGACGTGCTGAAGGAGGCAGTAGCTTGAAACAGGGAGCATCGTCACACTGCATGTCGATCGTATATCGGATGTTAGACGTATCGATGTCGTAGCTGGCAGAATAAGCAACCAAGGTTCGGTCGAAGCAACCGAAATCTTCGTCAAGATCTACCGGGGGGAAATTGTTTTCATTGTCGAGGTCTCGGGGAACGATGAAGTCATAAGGCTGCTTGAGCCATAACGGTCGCAAGAATTCCGTCTGTTGTCTGATCCAGAACGCAACCTCCAAAGAATGAACGGATGCAAGGAAAACGGAGAATGGTTTGCGAAGGGGCAAGCGAAATGTCAGATGTAAGCTATCGTCCCCCCACTCCATCGACAGGCAGGTCAAATTCATGAGTCCAAAAGACGTTGCAGCGTCCAAGTCGCTCAACGATACCACAGAGCTGCGACTGGAGATTTTGTGTAGGGGAATAAGATGGAGTTTGTGGGAACCCAGAGCAAGGTAACAACCGGTCGGTGAGAGTTTGGTGAGATCCTCCGACGAGGCCCGCGTCGGAGATTTGCTGGATGCCATCTGGATGACTCGGAACATGCGAAACGTCTCGGGGTCGTAGTCCCGTTCGTAGTCCAGCATTCGCACCACACAGTCCACCGTCTTTCGGTCAAATGGTAAGGGGTCTGCTCCTCGGATCAGCTCCGCCGCGGAGCGAATGCCCACCATCCATAGGTTGAGTTCCTGAAAATCCGGCGTCTGCATCTGAATAAAGGTGGCTTTCTGTGCTCGCTCATCGACATAGGCGACCTCCACTGTGGACGACGGCCGACCATCGTCCAACATGTAAACTGCAATGATGCTATTCAGGGCAATTCCGGAAGAGTTATCGCCAGGCATCCCCAGCTGCGGATCCTGCATCGAGCTGATGGAGACGACGGACTGACGATTGCTTGCCAGGGACCGGGAGTAAGACGAGGGGATAGATGGAAACATGTCGGCGGCTTTGCTCTGATTCTTGAACCGGACCAGGTGGGTATCGGTCAGGACCAAGTAGTGACTCTTCTTTCGCCACATGCCGCCTGTGATCTGAATTTCGCCATGGTGCAAGATAATGGAACCGATACCTTGCCGGATGTCGGGGTTGTCTTCGTCCAGGGAGCTGGCTTTGGAGCGGCCAAGGGATCGGTCGTCATCTTCCAACGAATGAAGGGAGCGCAGCGAACCGAAAACCGAGGCCCGTCTCTTCTGCATCGACTTGCGTCGAGAGCGCGGGCCCTCGAGGGCTGGCGGGGGCATCATGCATGCTGTCGATTCCGAATCGGCGGTGCCGGGACGACGCAGGGTGTAGCTGGTGCCGGTTCTTGGCGGACTGGGGTTCCGGACCCCAAAGAAGCCAGAGTTGCGGCGTGATTTCTTTTTCGAGGCTTGAGCATCATCCGAGGGCGATCGTTGGTGTACTGCGGGGTCGGACAGGGACGAGGCTGTGAAGGATGGGCTAAAGACGCTGAGGCTTTTTCTCCGCTCTTTCTTCCCCAGGAGATCGGCCATGACGGGGTTTTAGGGGAAGGATGAGGGCGGAGAAAAGGGGTGAAGAGAAGGTGGAAAGAAGCGCTCGAAATGCGAAAGGAGGGAGGGATGGAGGAAGCTAGCTAGCTAGCTAGCTGCAGCAATCACGGGCAGTAAGCGGCAGCAGTGGTCAGATGGTGGTGGTAGGATTGGGTTTGTTTGTTTTTTTTTTTTAAAGAAAGGATATCACATTGAGAGGCCGAAAATGGGGTCTCACTAGAGAAGTGCAAAAAGCGAAAGGATGGCGACTGTTAGCATGAATCATGACCGATGGCGATAAGAGGGAGAATTTGAGGGGGGGGGTGGAAAGGAAGGAGAGTGGAGAGAGTGTGAGAGGGAGGAGTATGATGGGAGGAGATTGGAGCAAGACACAGGCAGGAGTGATTGAAACCCCAGCGGTTGACTAGTGACTTAGAGAGGTGGAGCTGGGCGCGGATGCACCAAATGAGGAGCCACGGGCAGGGGGGAAGGAGGGGGAACAAGGCAGGAGGAGGAGAGAAGGGAAGGGAAGAAAAAAAAAAAAAACAAAAAGAAAAAGAAAAAGGTGGAACATACAGCAGCCATCAAGGCAGTTGGAATTGCGAAATCGGTAGGTGAACTTGGGTAGTTCAAGGTAAGACTCAATACCAGATGGAGTCAAAGAAGAAAGGGGAAGAGAGGGAATTGAATGAGTAAAGAGAAGGATGTTTTGTTGACCTTCGCAACAAACTGAATGTCAATGCCAACAATTGCAAAAAGACCACTTGAAGCCAGGAAATCAGATTGTGTCCAAACCGAATGATATAGAAACAGATAGCAGAAGAAGAGAATGTATGTGTGGAGGAGGTCAAAACAAGAACCGGCAAACCCCCAGACCCGTGGATCGAAGTTCGGAGACCGTCAGTTGGTTTAAATGGGGGGGTGGTGGGTGGTGGGTGGAAAGAGGGGATGGGAAGATCGGAGTGGACGGCGATCTGCTTAGAGTATAACTTGATAGACGTGTAGATCAAGCCGGGAGATGAGGTCGTCGTCACCGTGATGATTTCAACCTCTCCCTCATACATTCACACAACCTGTCAAATCCCCAGATGGTCGACCGGACAGGGAAGGTGTTTGTCAATCCCACGAGGGG